ATGCTAAGGATCCAGTTCTGAGGTTGAGTTTTTCGGATGCACCTCGGATGCAGGTACACAAGATATCTGTAGTGCGAACCCAAGAAGAGTCCAGAGATGTCAGGAAATTTCCCTACTCGCTTCATGCAACAGGATGCATCTTTCCAACCGTTTTGGGCAACTTCCACTCAGAATGGCCTGAAGATGCCTTTTGTCTCTTGCTCGGCGGCTCGTCCGGCCCCTAGCGGGTGTAGAAACACGAGACTGCTCCAACCCCGGACCCCGTCCGTCTCTTCCAGTCAGGGCGGGGTATCTCAAGCCTCGCCTGGGCCTGGGCGGCCCAAGGCTCTTGGAGAGATTCTCCGATGTGAATTCAGGGCCTAATCGGACGCAGTCAGGGCCTGATCCGCCCGATGGGGAACTCAGCTTCTGGGATCCATGGAAGGCCAAACCATATCATATCCCCACGGAGGTCAGGATGCTAGGTGCTTGTACTCTGCAGTACTGAGGCCGATTTGTGAGACGCAGTGAAACAGCGGAGCCACGCTCGCCGTGACGAAGCAGGGCTCTGTCTGACTCAACCTAAATAGCCTAGATCCTTATACGAATGCGGCTAAGCTTCGCGAGCACGGAACGGTACAACGGTACAACCAACGCATTCTGACAGCCGCCGACCGACTACCATCTCTCTGCGCCAAGTTTAATCAGAAGCCAAGGGCCCTGGGCTTGCTTTTGCGGGTCTTTAGACTCTGGACTGGGGGCAGTGGGGAGTTAGTTTCGGCGCTGCGCAGTCCGCAGTGAATTCCTTGCGGCCGCCGGCCGCCGCATGCGCCGCCTCTCCTCGCATCCTCGCGCCGCTCGGCGCCGCGGCGCTCCTGAGCCGAGCAGCCGAGCGGAGCGCTTCTCACGGATCCGGCGGCTGCCGCGCGAGAACGGCCTGCAGGCGCAGCCGATTGCAGATCTCTTGTCCAAAGAGAGAGAGAGAGAGAGAGCCCAAAGAGAGAGCCGAGAGAGACATAGCAGCTCTCTCTTAAAAGAGTTTTCCATCCTGCTGGATGCAGGAAGCGATGCGCTCGCAGCAGGCGTTTGCTGCATCCTCCCAAGCCTTGGGCAAAGAGCAAAGTGAAATGTAATTTGATGCTTTCGCCGAAGGCTGTGGACCTCGCCAGGAGCACTCTCAGAACAACTCGTTGGCGCAGACACGAATCGTCGCACTTGTCGCTCTTTTTTTGGCAAGGTCAAAAGCTGCCTCAGCGCGTTCGGCAAGGTCAAGAGCTGGCTCAGCGCATTTTGGATTTTATCCACTCGGTCCAAGTCGAACTTGATGTGCAGAAGCGGCCGTTGTACTTCTTGTCGATTTCGAGCCACCTGGCTCAAACACAGGGGTTCGGCCTTGGAATGTTCGAGTTCTTACATTCCGGCTTGAAGCTGCTCCAGACCAGAACGGGAGACTTGGCATCGTCAGCGAGCCCGTTCCCCAAGTCATGAAACGCTTGACGGATCGACCGATGGATAGGTGGTAGTAGGACGATGGACAGCTAGATCGAGAGATCAAGAAATAGCGAGTGTGCAAGATACATGGTTAAACCTAAGAATGAACAAGTGAATCTACAAATAAGTAGACGAACAAATGAGCTATCAATAAATGAATGCACGAAGGACGGAATTAATGCATTCTGAGTAGTGAGTGAGTGAATGACTGAATGACTGTGTGACTGACTGCATGACTGAATGAGCGAATCAGACAATGAATGAATTGAACGGAATGGAAAAATGGGAATGGATGATTGGACGGGACGGGACCCTTTTATTGTAATGGGGGTGCTAACTTCTTACCTGTCCAAACATTCAATACACTCTACGATTTCCCAGACCTGCAAAACTGTCTGTCCTGTTTTCTTGGAGCATCTCTCAATGCTGGCGTTGAACAAAGTTTTGGTCACTTGGAATTCTCTCGAATTTTGGCATGGTTTGAATTAGGTCTCCAGCTAAGCAGAAAGCGTGGGATGAGATATTCAGTAGTGGTGACAGGTTGTCTGATTCTCATGTGCTGATGTTGGGCCAGCTAGCATACAGGCAGCTCCCAATAAGAAAATGCCGCCAATGCCTACGCACTGCATATATGAAAACATGTAGATAGTTTGTAAGCACACGTTTGAATATTGGATCTATTTCTTTATGCATGCTCGCGTACTTGATTGTGTACCAGCTGTTGTTCGCGCAATTGCCTTGTGTTCCCTCAACACGTTTGCGAATGATTCAATGTTAATCTGTTAATCATCAATATTGGCATCTGGTCAGCTGGATATTATACCCACGACATTGTGTTGAAGTCGTAACCGATTTTGTGGACGCTGCGTACCGTTTGTTTCTGAATGCGTGGTCAGGTTGACTGTGTGTTAATTTCGCATGCTGACACATCTCCAGCAATAGTAAGAACAGCTTTCACCGAAGCCTAGTTGGGAACCCAAGGACTGTTGCAGATTTTGATGACGGTCTTGATACGGAACTCATAATGCTGATGCAGATTATGAAGAACGTCGTGACCGGCACATATCTGGATATCGTACGCAAGACACGCGTTGATGCGGGTAGTGTAATTATCTCAGTATTCTGTGATGATTGCCATGTCTCGCTGTCCAAGAGCCAGGCTTGACGTCCTCGGCGTGGCCCGAACAGCAAGTGCTGTCATCGCCGTCGATGACAGCGTACTGGTAGGCGTGGTCCTCGGGATGTGACTGGGGATTGTACTTTTCTTTGTCGTTCTCCGCTGTCCTTTTTCTCCTCCTCCTCCTCCTCTGCCTCCCTCATTTCCGCGCCCACGGCACCACAGCACTACACAACAACAGACACACAGACAGACAGACCGCCGGACGGATGGACGGACAGACAGACAGGCTTGGAAAACTGTAAACGCCCACTTAACGCTGACTATAGAGGGCTTTGCAGGATGCGGCGCGCGTTTTGGACTCCCCCCCTTTACGCCACTAAACGCTGACTCTGAAGGGCTCTGCGGGATGCGGCGCGCGTTTTGGACTCCCCCCCTGCTCTCCATGAAGCCGTCCCTGTCGGTCTCCGGTTCGGCCAGGGCTCAGGTTGAGTCGCTCCTCCAAGGCTCTGAACGCAGCACTTGTGCTCCTGTCAGCGGCCCCAAATCGAGGTCGAGCTTTTATTATGAGCCATGGGCTTGAGAACTGGCTTGAGATACAAGTACTTGCGCGCTTCTTGTGGAAGGCGACAGGCTTCGGCTCTTTATGTTGTATCAGGCTGCAAAGTGTTTGTCCTTGGTCTTTGATTTGCAAAACTGTCTAGACAACTCAGGATTCGGGTAAATGACTCCCAGATCCACAAGCCTCTAGGCGTGGAGTCACCCTCTTCCAAAACTGCAAGCGGATGCTGCCTTTTCGCCATCGCTTTTGGTTACCTGGGCTGCGTGACGGGCCCAGGCATAGAATCGCTTTGAGCTTGGGCAGGACACAAGAACCAAAACGGCATTCGGTCAAGTGAAGCGGCCTCGTGATGGGCAAGCAATGGCAAGCAGCTTAACCGACCCCTGCCGGGTTGTGCACAAGGTACAAGGGCTTTCCCATGTGACAGGGACTAGCTTGAATCTTCAAAAGATGACAATCGGTGCCCGCATTACAGTTTGGCTAAAGCAGGCAAGGTGCTTCTTGACAGCCGATGCCGTTGTATCGTCCATATGTGCTCACAGCACAGTTTGTCCCAAACTCGAAGTTCTTCCAATCTCGCCTTCAGAACAAAATCTCTGATGGGTGGACTGTCCAGAGCAGACCGTGTTATTGTTGGTTAAACAACGGCACACTACCTGCTCGTGACCTGTTTGCAACAACACGTGTCTTTCAGAATACCCTGTGTGAAATGTAGCGGCGATGCCGCTTTAGGAGCTACCGGAAGCTCTGCTAAGAACAGGCTGGTGTTCGGCGTCATGTCTTCGGCTCGGCAGTGGGAGCTTTTGTCCCCTCTTTGTTCATACCCGGGACACCCGGATTGGCCTTTGGCAATCAGCCCCCACGGCGGGCTTGCACTTCTTCGCAGTTGCGCTGCAAATGAGGCCGGTGCCTCCCAAGATTTCATGCCCAAGACCTAAGCGTGCCTTGAAATTACCTATGTTATGTTGATGTCTGCAGGCTGACTTGGACAGCTTCGGGCGACTGGGCGCAAGCACCGGATCCCGAATGCTCTGTGCCAGCTGCTACAAAGGTACCAGTTTACTTCCTCTCCCGTCAAGACAACGAACCACATCACAGCACAGCACATGTCGCCCAAGCAAACCGTGGAACGGAAGCACCATGAGGGCTGACCCAATGTTGCTGCCAGGCTGCCACAGCAGGTGTTCTGTGCCCGTTGGTCCGTGGTGAATCCCGAATACCTATGCCGGCAACTCAGTCGATGCCTTATCCCAGCACCTCCAATCTAACTTCGACGGGGAGCTGGTAGCAGTCGCACGGATCGCCAGGCTTCTTGTCGGTCTCGTCGGGCTCCATGGCACTGCCTCGGGCTCCGAGCTTCGGCCGATTGGGCGTCTTGGAGGGAGGCTCCGGGGGCTCCGCCTGCCGCACGAGCGCCAAAGCAGCACGTGGGCACCCGCAGAAACGCCAAAACGAGAAACACCAAGGCCGAGCTCCGACGTCGGAAAAAGGACCTGAGTCTGAGCGGCTCGCCTCTTTGGGGCCTCAGGTCCCTTAGGCCCTCCGTCTGATCCGAGGGGCATCGTGGCGGCAATGTACTTCGCGGTCGACTTTCACGACTAAAGCTGGAGCATCAAAAGCTGCTGCGAAAGGTCAAAGGTCTGGGTCAGGCCGTAAATTCTCTGCTTTGGGCCTCGCAGCAGTCAATTCATAAAGGTCCGCAAGGCAGCCCGCGCGCGCCAACCATCAGCTGATACCCACACACGTTGCACCGCTGCACTGCCATGCAGTTTTGTAACAGTTCTCTCGTGGTACAACTTCTGACCAGTTGAAGATCGAAGCTCATTTAGCGGAAGCCAGTATCAGCGACCTTCACGACAACAGCCAGGGGCCGAGCCTTGAGAGATGTTGTGCTCCTGCCGCCGCCCGAATAACCTTGGGGCAGTCTGCCCGCGGCGGCACGTTCATGGCAAAAGGCTCCCTCGGGAATCCACGGGCGAGGACTGGGCTTCCCCCGAAGAACTGAAACCGCTCTGTGCAGCACTGGGCGCCCTCTGCCCGACGCCGTGCCAAGGCGAGAAGTCGACGGCGGAAGGGTCCCGTCACCACCTGTCGAAGAGAGAGCGGAAGAGAGGTTGGGCGCTAGCCCAGGCCCAGGCCTGACAGAGGAGCTGCGTGTCAATCAAGGAGGCGAGTTTGAGCGCCTGCGACAGGGGCTGCAAGAGCATGCCGGCTTCGCGCTGCGCTTGCAGTGACCAGGCTGGCCCCAGACACAAGGGATGCAGATTCGGCGCAAAAGGCTCTCTCCGTGCCGTCCGCCTGCGTGCGGGAGTCCACCGGCACAGCAATCTCCTCGCAGCATGTCGCTTTCGCGGCTCTACACTCCTGCCCCTCACTTCGCGTCTGTGACAGATCCCGACAGCTCTGAAGCAATGGCATCAGTGTTCGCTTCAAAGTACTGTTGCACGTTTGCCCTTTGCGGCGCGTCGATCTCCCGCCTTCCCGTGCTCCAGCGCCAGGGCGAAGGACAAGGCCCGCTCCAAGACCCGGGCCTAGGAAGCTCGAAGCCACGCGAAGCCACGCCCGGACCGCGCTGCAGTCGGCACTCTTCGACTCCACGTCTCGAGGCCAGTGCAGGAGGGGTCGAGGCGTTGCCGGAGAGGCGCCCGGCCCTGAAAGCACACCACAAAGCCACAAAGACCACGGCCGACACCGGAGGGGCCAGGGGGGCTAGGGAGGCCCGGGGCCCGTGCTCGCTGAGTGCGAAGTCCAGAAGCTGGGCCACCAGGTCGAAGAGCACGTTCTTCTGCGTCACCGAGATCTGAGCGGAGGGCCGAGCGGTGCTAACTTAGGTCCTTTTTTTTGGTGCAACACTCTGCTGGCCATCTCGGCCTGTTGGTAATCTCAGCCGGTGCCGTCGCTTGAACACGTTGGGTTTTCCACATCCCCCCCCCCCCCCCCCCCCCTTCCCCCTCCGCCTCGGGCAGCAGGGCGCCTTCGCTGCGCTCGAGCAGCCCCCAAAGCCGACCCTCAGAGAGAGGCCGTGAGGCAAGGAGGAGGCAGCAAGTCGTCAGGGGCAGGGGCCGTTGTCCTAGGCACAGACCGCAAAACCCAGGACAGCCCGGCTGCCTGCGTCCTCAGCGCCTCTTCGTTGAGGCTGGCCATGAAACCTTTTTCACGGGTTGTCGAGATCTTGCGGATGCAGCTTCGGGATTACATTGCAGAAGCCCTTCTGTGAAAAAAAATTAACGAGAGACAGGCCGTCTATGCGTTGCAGCTCCGCATGTCTGATCTGGCCGTGGAGCGCAAGTTCTTCACCCGGAGCGTGACGTGGCGATCCTGCTCGGAGTGCGCAGACTCAAATGCGCAGCTTCGGTTTGAGGAAACCTTTGGGGGTGCCCGAATGAGGTCCAAGCTCTCTCTCCCCGCTCTGAACAGATGCGAGGGCTTCCGCCTTCCTAGACGAAGCGTTCCACTTTCGAACATTCCGAAACCGGAGCTGACAACCGAACCCCAGACATCCCCAGACCCCAATGCCTTCACGCGCTTCGCCGCGGATTTCAGCTGGTCCCGAGGTGTTTGGTTCACCTGGGGCTCGTGGGGAGGGTTTGTGTGCCAGCATATTCGTAGAAGAACCACCAAACTCCATGCTACGAGTGGAACACTTGTGCACATCCCGAAACCTGCCTGCGAAACCTCTTGACTCTTGCACCAAAAGAACTTAGGTGCGACCTCCTGGCTTGTGAGCACCTGGGACCTCTTCTACCCATGACATGGCATCGGCCTTGCACACCCTCTTGGTCCTGATACCCAGGGCCATACGATCGAAAGCCTCGCCTGCGGTGTGGTCGGTCGCGACTTGGGGGTCCTGCAGTGTGTTTGCTCCAGAGGCTGTCGGACGCGAAACTGATTCTGGCTTTCGTTTTTGTCACGAGGCGGTCTGTGGTCTCAATCGCAAGGGTTCAGTTCAAGCAGGATGCAGGGATGGTTGTTTCTTTTCGGTTCAGGTCTCGGCTGTTCGCGTTCCATATAGCCTTCAAAGAAGCGGACATCGTGTGCGAGACTGGCCTTGATTGTTCCTCGGACTTCTTGGTGCTCTGCGCAGTACCTCTGCACTGGGTTCCATCTGTGTAGATAGGAAGCCGGGAACTTGCGAAGCTCAACTGTCAGCACCATGCAAATGACTGCAAATGGGCCCGATTCACACGTCGACCGGGAACAGGGTTTGGGCACATTCCCAGTCATGTCTATTTCTGATCTTGCGCGGCAGGCCATGAAGGTTCTTTTCCTCGCAGGTTCAACTGGCAAAGGCCGCGTCGAGGATGAGCCGCGTTTCCTCCCGGCAGAGTTTGGGCAAGTCATAGTCCGGTACATCCAGGTACCCTTGCACGTCCTCGCGGTGGATCTGCGCCGACCCCGTGGCAGGTGCGGCACTGACCGGCCGCCCGACCTCAGCGGCTTTCGCTTCGGAACTCAGGGTCCGAACGCTGATGTGGAGCTCGTCTTTCCGGATTCCACAGCAGCGGGATCCCAAAGGCTCAAAACACCTTCTCGCCTTTCCAAGCATTTCTGCACTTGTCGACACATTTCCAAAGCACGTAAGGGCGTCGGATCCGTACATTTGCTTCCGGTCTGCGTGCTGCCATTGACCAAACGCTGAATAGCTTGGCAACCGGGGTTTTGACTGCGATGTCCAAGCAGCAAATGCCACGTCGCTCTCCACACAGGTCGCCAGCCTGGCAAACATCTGTTGGGCCGTTGCCTGCACGACCCAAGCCATGAAGCCATGCTGCTCGAATTCGGGGAACCTGTGCTCGACCATGAACGAGTGCTCTGCTAGCCTGCGGCTACCACGTGACCCTGAAAGGATTTGCGCTGCAGCTCGGAACCCTTGACGGATGCGTTTGGGAACGGAGCAACCAGGCTTGGCTTGGCAATTTGTGACTTTCTAGAATGCCTTGTGGCTCCTTGCCACCTTGCTGTTTAGCTTCAGTTTGAGGGATGCTGTGCAAGACTATCTGCTTGATCGCGAAATCCTTATCTCCGGATGTCGTCACCTCGGCGAGACATAGGACCATGCTCCCATGTTCTTTGGCTCCTCCTGGAAATCAATGTCAAGTTTATGGCCAACGATGGTCAGAACATTACCATATAGCCGTGACACTGCCTTCCAGGAATATGCACTTGAGTGCGATCACTATGCCAAAGCTTGTGTGCTCCCTTTGCATGACATGAGTGAGCAATACGCCGCAATCTGTCATGTCGCCTGGCACCACACGACATCGGCCTCGGCTGTCGCGAACTGGAGGAATTCATCGAGCCAAACATAGCTTTGGAACCAAAGTTAGGTAATTACAGCAGCTCGAGACGCGAGCAAACTAACAGTGGCAAAACGACGTGCGCGATCTGGCGTTTGAACCAAACGCAAATCCCGCATGGACACTTGCTTGTGCCAACTGGCGTTCGGATAGTAGGAAAGAGCTTTGATGATCCGGTCGTAGGGAAACGGCGCAATCTGCTCCTTAAACTGCCGCAATTGGCAAGAGCCCGAAAAACGACCAAACACGGCAGCAACGCAGTGACTTCGAAGAGAGCTCAGCGAAAGCAGGACATCGGATACTGTGCGGTGGCTGTAGGGTCTGAAGGGCCTCGTGCTTCATAGAGCCGCCACTTTCCGGCGCATTTTTCAAGGAACTTGTGGCATGGCACCAGGCGGACGAGGACGATGTCTTTGATCTTCTTGGCCCGCCGAGCATTCCTGAATGGTGCAAGGGATGGGTCGGAAAGAGGCATGCTCCGGACCCCTGGGTGTGTGTGTGTGTGTGTGTGTGCTCGTGCTGAGGTGGCATTTCATGGCAGGTAGCTGCAGGTAGGGGTGCGCAGGTTTCCTGCTGTCAGATGGTTTGGCCAGGGTTTCGGGGTCTCTGCCGGGCCTTTTCAGAGGGCCTCAGCGCATCGCCGTCACGGGAACTCACAGAGAACCATCCGCTAGCCGCTGGCATCATGCAAGCGCGCCATGCCAGCGGCTTTGGTGACTGCAAGTGCTGTGCTCTTGCAGGACCGTGCGGCGAAAGCATGTAGTAGACCTGGCCGCTGCAGAGAATGACGCGTCGAATGGCCTCGACTCGAGCTCTGCAACGGCGCTTCACTCCGACGCTCAAGCTGAGCATGTCGGTGTCTGCACTTATGCACTTTCACAGGCTCCGAGGCTTCTGCGGGCGGTCCTCGGGGCCTTCTTGTGCACTCGCTCGCTCGCTCTCTTTCTTTCGCCAGGGCTATGGGGCAGAGGATGTTCTCCCCTACCCCGCGCGCTAGTGCGCCCCCGACCGTTTTGGAGGGGGTGGAAAGAAAAGCATACCTGGCGGGGTCCCCGGTCAAGAAGATGAAGGGAAAAGGGGGTGTTTCCCCGCCAGCCAGACACGTGCATCCGTCCAGGAGGAAAGAGTTAGAAAAGGGGGTTTTTAGCCCCGGTGCGCGACAAAAGTCGCTCTCTCTCTCTCTCTCTCTCGCTGCCTCCGGCGGCTCGGTGAGCGGGCGCCCGCTCCTGTCGAAGGCGCTTTTCGAGAGGCTTTTCGGCTCCAGCCAGTCTTGGCTCCCAGCCTGAACATCTAACCGTGCGTGCTATGCGAGAAGCATCGCAAGAGCCAAAGAGCCAGAGTACGAGTATGTACACCCTAGCCAGAGTGCGAGTGGCGGCCTGCTGGTGCTGAGATGTCGGGTGTTGTCTGAGCGGCTGGCGAAGTCCTCGCGGCGCGAGTTTAGACATGAAGGCTTCGCTTGTTCTTGGACTTCCGGCTCCGCCGGCTCCGGCGAGTTCGAGTTGGAGCTGATGCTAGGCCCTGTCTACGCGACATTGCTAGAAAAATCTGGGACAGGTACAAAGCTCAGACTTACGAAGCCTCAGTGCAGAATGCCACAGGCCATGCCAGACCCAATCCTCAAGGAGTGTCCAGAGTTCAAAAGAAAGCTCGAACAAAGACTCCTTTCCAAAAGGGCTGTAGTCCACAATCACCTCAGGAACCACTGTGATTCGGCAGGCGTATTGGGGGCTTTGAAGCAGACCCAAAGCTAGGTGGGGCGTCGACCCGCGAGAGCCCCATGACACCCTCACAGCCTGTGTGATATGCACTCCCCAACAAAGAGCCGACCTATTTGCACACCAGCATAATCGGAATGTTGGCTTAATTTCCGGCGATCCGGAGTTGGCCCGGCCGCCTTGCGCATGCTTACCGCTGTTGCATTTGCACCGAGCAATCTCCAAGTCTCACCCCTGGATGGGCATTTGAGAATTCTGACAACATGGTGACCTCCACATTCCATTGGGCGGTGAGCAAAATCCAAATGAGCCATTCGCACCGAGAATGACACAAACAAAGGCTTTGGGACGACACTTGAGTTACGTCCAAGTTTCGGCAGGTGAGATGGACATGGACTGTTGCAGAAGCGGATCAACACAGCTTCAACGCAAATCATGGTAAATACACCACTGTACTGCAAGCAGCTGAGTGCAGTCCACGATGCCCGCATAAAGTGGCTTTGCTCACCAAAGTCCTCCAACGGCGAGGTGGCCTGCCAAACAAGCCATCGCGCTCCACACTCTAACGAGAGGGTGTGGTCGGACAGGTTTTAGCAACTACAACTTGTCCGGCCGCGCGAGAAAGTGAATCCTCGTAGCTGGGGTGAGGATGAGGATGAGTGCGAAGGTGACCTGGAATCGTGGTTGCCTGTTATAGAGATCTGGTCACAGCTAGGACACGATGAGGAGAAGGGGCCAGATCAACACTACTTCCATGCGCATCGATATCCTGTGTGGCCAAAAATTTCGGTTGCTCTTGATTTCCAAGCACTGACAATGAAGACTGATGAAGACAGGCATTAAATATGATGCCTTTGATTTCGGCACGTTGCAGGCTAGCCTCAGCATGAAGCCTTGCAATCTGTCGCTCCTCTCTGTCCGCATCTTCTGTCTCTTGCAGAAAACGAGACACCCAGTTCGGAATCCTTTGTGGACCATCTGACATGGTCGCAATCTCTTCCTAGCTGTGCTGGAAGCTTGAAAGATGCATTGTCGGCAAACTCAACGGCAAGCAAGAAACATGCACTCACATTAGATATGTCCGACTGTCCAGCTCTCAGCAGGGCTCTCTCTTTGTCTAGTGAAACTAGACAAGGCCATATCCAGATCCCCAAACTGCCATTATGTCGTCAAGAAGTGCAGCTATTGAATCAGCTATAGGGGACTACAGCTAGCCACTCACTGCAGATGGGCCTTCGCATGATGCAGCAGGTACTTGGGCGACATTAGCACCTCATCGCGACTTGGAGTGGGCTGGATACAGTCTCCGGGGAAGCCCGTTCTGCTGCGTCGACTCTGACGACCCATCGACTGCTTTGGTTTGAAGTGTCGGCGGGTCGCAAGGCCCTAAGGTCTTTGAGCGTGACACCCCGGAATGCTCTCAGCCCAGACACCAGTGGCTTCATGAAGGGCCGATGGGCTTGGCGCCGCAGCACCTGTGATGCACGACTCTTCGCACGCGCAGGTCTCAGCAGTCGTGTCTTCCAGCCAAACCCTTTGTGGCTGCCCTGGCCGAGCCGCATGGAAATACTGCGCAGGAGTAGTCACGTTCAACACGAAAATGTTAGCATCCTTCCAGGTCCAGCGGCAAAATGCACATGGGCATGCAAATGGGCCCAACGCTCCTTCTCAGCATTGCGACGATAGAGCTGCTGCCTGACGAGATGACTAGGCTGCAAACCATAGAGCTGCTGTGGCAGAGGGACCCCAGAGGAACCCTGGAAATTGTTCGGGCCACTGGCTCCAACACAGGTGCAGCAGGAACCGGACAACACCACCAAACCACTCATTCTAAATCACGAGTTCCACCATAGCCTTCCAAACCCGACGTGGTGCGACTTTCTGGACTACGAGCTCGCGATCCTGCGGAGTGTGTTCGAGACTGCAAAAGCGAATGGACCGAAATCCACACGATGGCCGAGTTGCATGATCATCCGCCAGTCTCTGCGAGTGATCCCCGTTGCCTCGATTGAGCGATTGAGCCACTGCAGTGAAAAGCCGCCGCCCGGGCCCGGGCCCGGGCCCCACCGGCGGGGCCCCCCACCGGCGGCCTCCGGATTCATGTTCCGGGCCACTCGTAGCCAAAGCTCCCACTCCTCAGTCTATTCAGCGATCTCCCAAGTCCCAATTAAGTGGGGGCCCTCTCTACGAGCAGCCTCGACGACCAAAAAAGAGCTAAGCGGCTTAGCATTTTTTCAAGATCTAATCTAGTTATTGAAAGCTGATCGACATCATCTCGCTCTGCAAGTCGGCCTTGTGGCGATGTTGGCTTTCTAGCACAGAGCAAGCTTCGTCTTCGAACTCGCGCGACTGAAACGCCGGCAGTCTCTCCATGTAGCTTTTGACGGCGCCCTCCTGCCAAAGGGGCAAGTCGAAGCGCCGGCGAAAGCACACCCAGTGATGCAGGACCGAATGCTCTCACTCGACAGACTCGTGCTTGTCCATGGTTCTGCCAAATTGCACAACTTCTGAAGGTTGCATGCGAATGATTAACCAAGACACCACGAGGCACGGCAACTGTCATCGAAGATCTTGACACATGAGTGGACACCACGCCACGCCGAGGCCAAGAGCCAAGCTGCTGCGGATGTGGACGTGGCTTCCGAGCCTCCAGGATGCCGGCGCCCTCCGCATCGAGGATCTCGAAGGCACGCTCGATCTCCCGCAGCTCCTAGACGTGCGAGGGCCGAAACCCAAGTTACCCGTTTCCCTTTCCCGCCCGGTCCCGGTCCGTCCTCGGGGGAGTTTCCAGGGAGATGGTTCGGATCGTCGTTGGTGAGTTGCCTTGCTGGCGGCTGGGACGAAATGGGCCACGCTGTGGGGGCCGGGCAGTGGAGTGCGGGATATTCGGGTTCGAGCGGGTGCCACCGCTCAGGCTCTGAAGCCTCGCAGTAGCAACCCGTGGAAATTATTTTGCAGTGCCACGGCACAGGAAGCGCTCCAATCGTGCGCTGCTGTGGTTTGGACCCTGACCATCCTCAGGTGCCAGCTCCGCCCCGTGTGCATGCATAATACGAGATTTGGGGTGATCAAGACTAATCTAACATTCCTCGGGATGCCAGCGCTGAATAGTCTCACCCTGGGACCATCCGTCGAGTAGGACACTTCCGGCCGAGCCACGTAGCCGTGAGGGAGCAGCAAGGTGAGCCGGGAAGCCTGGCCCCACTTCTCCTCCTTAGAAAGGAGTGCCATGGTGCATGGATGGAGACCAGAAAGACAAGACTCAAGACTGCCCGGACCCCCCCCCCCCCCCTGCCACGCCGCCACGGGCCGCCGAGGCTCCCCGGAGACGATGAACTCGTCGATCACGGCCTCTGCAAGGCGCTCTGCGCTCAAAAGCGCTGCAAGCTACAGCATACTCTAGCAGCTACTAGTAATCATCCTCGGCAGCAGGCTGAAGAGGTTTGCGGTTAGAGCTTGGCGGGCTTAATCCCGCCTGGGCGCAGTTGGCGAAGTCTCCAAACTGGGCCTGTGAAAGCTTCGGGGTGGCGGCCGTGTCTCTGAAACCCCACGTTGGAATCCCTGGTGGCTTCTTGGTGTAACAATGCTGACTGCGGACTTGCAGGCAACTCATAGTCTCGAGCTGAACGGAAGCGAAATCGACGACGACGGAACCCTCAACTGAAACGAAACAGCAAACATACATGGAGCGGCAGCAACAATGCCACGGGGGGGGGGGAGGGTAAAACAACACACACACACATGAAGCAGAAACGGAAAAGCTGCCGGCCATAATTCCGGAACTTATGGACCAACTGGGCGCGAAGATAAATGATAACGTTTCTGAACAGCTTGCAAAAAGAACCGCTCATCAATCGAACTTCCAGAAACATTGTGAAAGCGAGATGCTTGCACTCTCTATAAGAGCTTGTTCTTGCAACATGAGGGGAAAACTCCGCATTCTTGAAATGGAACCTTCTTTCTCCAACCAGCCGCAAACACCAGCAAGCAGCAGGTTTTTCACATAAACTGAGACTTGCAGCTCCACTATGCCAGTCCTGGCCTTGTGGCCTTGGCCCTCTGGACAGCACTTGAAGTGAAAACGCGGAACTGTGAAAGCAAGGCGCGGCACAACGCCCGCCTCCCAACAAACCAGGGCATCCTCGTCACCCAGAGAATAGCCTGGGCTGCCGAAGGAACCTTTCCCCCACACTCGCTGACGTGGGGACCCTCTGGCCTCTGGCCGCATGCTTGAAGCGATTCAAAACTAAACAGAAGCACTTGTCACAAGAAATATTGGCCTTCAACCTCCCGAGAGGAGTCCAGCGGCCGTACTCGAACGCGAGGGCTGCAGCTTCGGACCTGCAGATCTTGCGGTGCTGCGCCTGCGCGCACACTTCCTTTATGTCTCCGAGATAGAGAGGCCAGCTGGTTCTGCAACACCGGCATTGTAGAGCAGAATACAAGCAATCGCAGCCAAGATGCAAGGGGCTGTTGTATGCATAGAAGTTCGCCTGGCAGAACGGCCGGGTGGCGAAATAACGGGGCTGCCGAACTCCCAAGCGCTTCCGAGCAATGCCTGAAGCTGCGACGACCCTTCGGACTGTTCTGACGCATAGAAAAGAAGGTTTGCAAATCTCGGAACTTCTTCCTTGGCGCAATGCAAGCACCGCCGCTGGCGATGTACGAGACAGCTTCTCCCTTACCCAAGCTACTTTCGCAAGGAGATGGCTACCCAGGACCAGGACACATCACAACTTGCTTGCTAGCTGCTAGCTGCTAGCCTGCCAGGCCATGGTGTCGAGACCCCTTGCTGCGCTGCTGGGTCTTCCGTCCTTCCTTCCACTGGGGCAAGGCCTGCGTAAGAGATCCGTGCCGAGGCACCCCCATTCCTCCTTTCCGCTGGAACAGGACTTTTGTGCCAATCGGCGATGTTCGCCCCCGCCACTCACTTCTAGTGCGTCCCGGCTTCGCCACCGCGCCCTCTAAGGCAAGTCCTACCGGGACGGTGGTTTCACTATATCCAGGTTGTGAATAATTTACATCTGAGTCATAAGTAGGATATCCTAGTTATAAGTGATTTATAAGTTCTGCGAGATTTATAGACTTGTGTTGGACTTAGCCGTAAGTTATAAGTGCAAGCTAAGTACGAGAGCTGGAACTTAGCTCGGACTTATATTGAATTTATTTTTTAATGAATTTATCGTGTTTTGGGGGGCTATATACTGCCAACCAAACCGCTTTCCTGCATATTGCGTTTGCCGTTGAACATTGCTGTGTTTTGGCTCAAATCATTTCCTTCGGAGCAGCGGAACCGTCTAAGTATACATACACGCGTTGTCGCTGGCATAGGTGGCATAGCTGCCGCCGCGAATCCCGTGGCAGCCCCGGGTCGCACGCCGACCGATGCAGGATTACACCGGCATGCTATCGTTCGTGTCTCCGCAGCTGCTGGCTGTGTTGACCGAGCCCACTGCCAGTGTTGAGGAAAGACGGCTGGCTTTTCTGTATAGAGCATGCTGTGAGCATGGGCCGTGCTAACGGCCATGGTGCCGCACAGAGGATAGAACGTATTTATCAATGCGTTCGAACTGTTTGCAGCTCAGGAGGTGCGTGCCGCATGCAAACGTTCGGCACACGCACCTTCAGGTGCAGCTTCTGCAAGCGGAGCAGGACTCGCACTCCGCTCGGCTCTCCCTTTGGGAGCGGTGGATCCAAAAGCTCCGCAGTTTTGCGATGCTAAGTCGAGGAACTGTGCCCGCAGCACTTTCACCATGTCCGCGGGGTGTCCGCGTATGTCCGCGGTGAATCTCCGCGGTCGGACGTCATGATATATGCGGCCGTGTCCGCGGGGTGTCCGCGCACTCATAGTTTATATAAGGATCTATGAGATAACAGGGATCAGGTAGTGTCCGCGGGAAAAGACCGTGTCCGCGGGGTGTCCGCGGGGCTTTGGGCTGCATGCCTGGATTTCGTAAAGTCGCGTCTTGCTTCTCCTCTCACACGTCGTAGGAAATGCAAAGATGCTTCCTTTGCCCTCTTGTTTTCGGCTCCCAGCTCGTCCTCCCTTAAGCCTCTCCAGTCGGTCCGCTGCCATGGCTCTGGTGCTCTCGCTTGCAGAGAGCCCTCTGTGGGCCCAGAGTGTGCTCTCTGCCGCCAAGTCAAGGCTGCAGGCCGAGTGCACGGAAAAAGGTTTCTTTGCAAAGACTGCGAGTCTCTGCAGAAAGCGGTGCAGCGGAACTTGGGCAGCTTGGACAAGGTCAAGACCTTGTCTCCGGACCTGCAGCTTGAGTTCTTTCAAACCGCGACGGACAAGCCCACTGGCCAGCACGTGGACTGGAAAACCGTCAGTGGTCCATTGCTGAAGTTGGCGACTGAGTGTTTGGGTGGCACGTGGCTGGTCGGCAGACACCGTGTGGAGACAGGAGACGAAGACTTGCCCTAAGCTGGGAGAAAAACTGCTGAGTTTGTGTCCTTTGCTATAGCTCTTGGTGCTAAGTAACTTAAATGAAAAAACATAAATGTTTGGACGGTCACTGGACTTACGGTGGACTTATATCGGACTTATAAGTCACTTAAAAGTTCATGTGCTAAGTTCAATACAAGTTACTTGTAAGTGTAATAAGTACACCGCCCTCAAACCACAGTCCTGGTATGGTCGTCAAGTTTCCGCGCATGTTGCGGGGACCGCCTTCTGCGTTGCCGCCGGGTCGTTACCTTCGGTCGACTTGGATTCTTCGTGAAGGGCAGTGGCACCAGATGGAGGATCGCGCTGCTATCCCTGATCAGCCGGGCAAGTTCGACCGCTACGTTGAGCGCGCCGTTTTTCAATATCATCCTGTACGGGGCACCTTACGACCGGCCGCTAGTTCGGAGGTCGTTGTGCCACCGTTCTTGCCTCTTCCGGAAATGCCTCTTGGCCGATTCTACGTACGCGCCCTGTCCGCCAAATGGCGTGCGGTGGTTGTCGCGTTGACACGTGCCATCCATGGGGGGTACCAGGGCTTCACATTACCTCTTTGCTTCAACGGCATTCCCAAAAGCCAAGCAGCACAGTTCGGCTATGATCAATGGTCGATCGTGTGTGAGGACGTGTGGCAGGATATGGCTGAAAAGAAAAGAGAGTATCAAGGATATGAAGGAGCAATTGTGCCTCATGTGGTCGAATTCTCGGTGAACAAGCCCAAAGAAGGTTTGGTAATCCAGTTTTACGACCGCGATGGGAAGTTGGTCCATACTTACGAAAATCCCTACAGTCGTTGGAAGTACCGGATTACCATCAAAGATGCGCCAAAGGCGGTGACGGTGTGGACGCTGGTCGGAGTCGACGAGGAAAACTGGTGGAATGAGTATGCCCCGGGCAAGGATTGTGTCATGCAACACGCTCCTGATCCTCATTATGACCCCGGACTGCAGGTGAATGTTCTCAGTATGGGACGAGAAGCCGATGATGCCATGTGTTCCTACATCTACGACGTGATGGAATCGAGGAAAGAAAACCCCAACTCCGTGATCTTCATTGGTGCAGGAGTGTTAGGGAAGAATTCGTGGCTAAGTCGCAAAATTGCCAACAACCCTGAAAAGGCCAAATTGCGGACTGACTACCCATGGGGGGAGGTCGTCCAAAGAATTGCGCGCAGAGCGGCATCGTGGGGAACTCAGGTCATCATCGAAGTACCTCCTCATGTACCTGTTCAAGAAACCAAGCAGTATAAGGGCCTGTGTGACGATGACAAGTGGAAGAGCATCAAGATCCAGGGATGCACTCATGGTCAACGTTACGTCTCCCGTAACTCGGAATCATCTGGGAACGTGGTGGAGTTGGGCTACTGCAAGGATGAATGGGAGTACATTGCCGCAAACGTCGCGTTGCAGCCTAAGTCGTCCGACTGGACCGCAAAACCCAATCACAACATATGATGCGGACTCAAGGAACCGTCAACAAATTGAGTGTTACCGTCAGATCTCAGAAGGTTGCTCAAACCCTGAATTTCGGCATCGGTGATGGCGGTTGGGTCGCTGCCCGTCGAGACCGAAAGGACGGAAACCCTATCGATGATTGTTGAAAACCTTTGCGTCCTGGCATCGGCTACGCCGGGCTCGAGACCCAATGCGAGGTCTGCGCTCCATATGTGCCGGAGTTTGATGCATTTTGGCTCAAGTCCCCCATCAGGGGGGGTAATTTTGAAGTAGAGGGGGGATAGAAGGGGAACCTGGCTATCTAGCCAGGCGAGAATGGCCTCCCCGCGCCCCCCTTCTGCTTCGCGGACGGCTAGCCCACAGTCTCCGGCTACTACGGTGATTCCGGCCAACCGTCTTGCCCACGGCTGTGCCGGAAGAGCAGGAGGTCGGGCCGGCTACTCCCTCCGGAGGGATAGGGACCCCCATCGGACTTCCGTCCTTGTTGGATAGCGCTCTTGTGCAGAAGCGTGCGGTGCTGGATAGATGCCATGAGCATCTGGCGTCGCGGGGCTTCGGTGTGCTTGAGCTGGCTACCCTCGGTCTAGAGGACGCGGAAGATATTGGGCCCCAGGTGGCTGAGGAGCTGGGCGTTGGCTACGACGAGTACATCGGCGACTCGATCTACCTGTGGATACAAGAGGCCCAGGAAGCTAGAGACCTGGTGGAGAGAGCGTCGGGATACAGAGCAACTTCGCTAGCTTGGGCTAACCTCAGCAAGCGGCCGGCGATCGAAGGCATCGACCTTCAGGAAGATAGCGAGCCGGAGCCCCCGAAAGGGGATAGGCAGAAGCGCTTGGTCAACGAGGGCTCCCTGGCGCAGGCTAGGAAGGAAAGGCTACAAGCAACCTGGGCTATCAAGCTCAAAGAAGAGCTAGAATTGTGCGAGGCGCCGGTGCTGAAGAAGCTACAGGGGTGCCTGGACCCGGATAGAGCGGTGTTGGCGCTAGCGGGGAAAACCCGGGCTAGCACTCTCAAGCGCTACGTCTCGATACACGTGAGATGGCGGCTATGGCTACGGGAGGCTAAGAGTGGACGCCCCCCTGGGCTACCGGCCGACCTGGCCGACTACATTATGGCTAGGGGCGACGAGCCCTGCGGGCGAACAGTCCCCGCGGCGATCCTCAAGGCCATCAGCTGGATAGAGAGGGTTGCGGAATGGGCGACCGAGTCGAGAGCTACCTCAGGCAGGATAGCGTGGGCGATCAAGGATACGGTCGTCGAGAGGCTATCCTGGAAGGCGCCCTGGACGCGGCGAGCCCCCCGATATCCTGCGGCTGTCCTGGCTAGGTGGGAGCGCCTGGTCCTGGATACAACTGTGGCCGTCGGCTGGAGAGCTTGGGCCTGGGCTAAGCTCCTAAAGGTTTGGGGCAGCTTGCGGTGGTCGGACCTTCAGGCTATGG